GTGAGACATTTTTAGTTTTTTTATGTTTGGAGACATTTGTACATGAAAATATCAACATAATCATACAAAAATAAAATATCATATATATATATATATATATATATATATATATATATATATATATATATATATATATATATATATCTGTGTGTGTATATGTGTATATATATACATACATATACATATACATATACATATACATATACATATAGAGGCAAACATCCTATTCAATCATTACTCATCCTTCCAGCTATTGCTCTTGAATATGTCGGTTATGTTACTCTTTTTGCTGGTCCCATTTTATGCACAATGTTCTAAGATATGAATGTTGACCTTGATTCTCTCCCAGCTTGACGGTTGTTTTGTCCCTCCTTGAGAAGTATCAGATTGATCCAAGACAAATTGGTCGCCTGGAAGTTGGTAGTGAAACAGTGATTGATAAGAGCAAGTCTATCAAAACTTGGTTGATGCAAGTTTTTGAGGTTTGTACCGTTTTTACAAAACGCCTTTCTTTAAATGTATCCATACATATGTGATTGTCCAGAGAGCATTGTACCAACGTTAAAGCATCAAGTTAAGTAGATGGCACATGAAATAATTTAGATATAGGATAGCATGGACTTCTTGGTTGTTTCACCATATGATACTTATCTTCTAAAATTTCATCTCAGTTGTTTACAGTAAAATTGTTGTGCTGAAATTCTTTATTTCATTTTTATATCTATTTTTGGTCACTAAAATCCAGTTGCTCAAATTTCATTACTATAGGAATATGATAATACTGATGTTGAAGGTGTTGACTCCACAAATGCATGCTATGGGGGAACAGCTGCTTTGTTCAATTGTGTAAATTGGGTTGAAAGCAGCTCCTGGGATGGACGATATGGATTAGTTGTCTGTACAGATAGTGCGGTATGGCGATAGAAATATTCTTCTGCAAGTTGCCTGATTGTTACCGTGCATATATTTAATTTGATATTATTCTTTGCTTTCTTGATCTTGTTACTTGTCTTTTTTGAAAAAAATGGTATAGATTTCTTTGCCATACCATTTTTGATTAATTTATCTTGAAATAGCCAATTTCTTCTTACCTCTAGGTATATGCAGAAGGGCCAGCTCGGCCTACTGGGGGTGCAGCTGCTATCGCAATGCTGATTGGGCCTAATGCTCCGATTTCCTTTGAAAGTAAATTCAGGGGGACTCACATGGCTCATGTTTATGATTTTTACAAGCCAAATCTTGCAAGTGAATATCCAGTATGCTTCTGTTCCATTTTGGATTTATCTTCTCATGTAACATAGAAATGGCTATTTTGTGTTTTGTTTTCCTGTTTTTGATTGTTTCCTTGGGATGGAACCATGCAAGTGCTGATTGTCTATTATTTTCTTTTCCAGCACTTCACATATAATGCTGCTAAGTTTCTAGAAGCAGTAGCTAAGTGCTAATTTTTAATTGTTGGAAGTTCAGTTTAAATTCCTTACTACTGATCTTTGGAAGTCTGGTTCCATGGAGTCTGTTTGTCAGATAAATAATTGATACCAGTCTGTAATAAATTTCTCCAAGTGACATGATTCTTCAAAAAGTTGCTGAATACTTTATTTGAAGTTTGTGCTTTTATATATGCAGTAGAAAGGATTTCTACATTTCTTTTAGCGTTCAGTTTCTCATGTATTAGCTTGTTATATTGATCAGTATAAATGCCCGTGTAGGTTGTTGATGGCAAGCTGTCACAAACATGCTACCTTATGGCACTTGATTCCTGTTACAAGCGCTTTTGTGGCAAGTAAGTTTGGAAGAATAAAATTGGCTTATTCTCCTCTCGTTCTTTCAACTTGTAACCATCAAATTGTTTTTCACACTCTTACCATGTTGTTAGGTTCGAAAAGATTGAGGGAAAACAGTTCTCTATTTCGGATGCAAACTATTTTGTTTTCCATTCTCCATACAACAAGGTAGATGTGCTTTATTGCAATCTCTGTATAGAGTACATACTATCATGTGAAATTTGTAAATAATGGTTTTTTAACTTTCTATTGGTCCATTACTGCAGCTAGTACAAAAAAGCTTTGCTCGTCTCGTCTTTAATGATTTCTTGCATTGTCCAAGGTATATACTCTGATTTTGCTTGACAAGAGAATAAGTTCCTTGGGTTACTCATTTTGACAGTTGACATGTTAGAATGGTACACTAGTGGAGAGGAACATGAAACTTCTTTCGTATAGTGAGACAGAATATGATTTTAGTTTTTTAGGCAAGAGATAGGACGAAGATTCCGTTGAAAAATTCAACTAAAAGCAGCCATCAGAAACAGTAGTGACTCACCTTTGTTGTTATTCTCGTTAAATTCATATCTTTGTTCTTTTCCTTAACTCTTTACATCATGATCTTTTTCTTTCATTAGTTAATTGAATGACTTGATATGCATATATTCTATGTGAAATGAATCTAATCTTCATGGGCAAGGGTCACAATTTAAGAAGCATTTTTATTGTGTTACCTTACCTATCTATGGAAGTTCATTATATCTGATTCCTCAGAGGTAGAAAAGAACATCAGACAATTTGGTCTGCTTGGAGAAGGCAAACAATCTAGTGTCTTAACAGCTTGCTACCATCGCAAGCATAGTCATTTTTGATAGAAAAGATTATGAATGCTTCAATTCATGTTTGTCATGACAAATAAGATAATTGTTTGGCATTTTCTGGAAAGACATTCATAATAAATGCTTTTTTTTTTTTACTTTACAGTTATATTTGATTAAGCAAAACTTTTTTGTGAACTACTCTTAGTTTTATTTTTTAAAATAAGCTTGCACTTTAATGTCAATTGCAATGTTGTGATCGAATGTCATTTACTCCTTATCCTTAATAGTAACCTTCAGAAGGAAGAAAGAGAAAATCTGGAGCCATTCTCAAATATGAATGGTGAAGAAAGCTATCAGAGTCGGGAACTTGAAAAGGTCATTCATTGTAATATTTAGTTAAAGACTTCATCTAGTTAAATGTTTTTGTTCCCTCGTTCTCTAATATCACAAACTGTCCAGGTTTCTCAGCAAGTTGCGAAGCCCTTCTACAATGTAAAAGTCCAACCATCTACTTTGCTACCAAAACAAATTGGGAATACGTACACTGCATCTCTCTATGCTGCACTTGCATCTGTTGTCTATAACAAGCATGACACACTGGTGATTTCGATAACTTCTTTCTGATCGCGTCACTATGAAACTTTTTCTGTGGGCATTCTCTAACTCATACATGATATGCAGATGGGTCAAAGGATTGTTATGTTTTCATATGGAAGTGGTCTAACTTCCACAATGTTCTCATTCAAACTTCATGATGGACAACACCCATTTAGCCTATCAAACATAGCTTCCATCTTGAATTTATCAGAAAAACTCAAGTCAAGACATGTGGTATGCACCTTTTGTTTTATGGCTCACAATACAACACCATATTGTGTATCAAGTGAACTATGATCAGTCTGCTTCTGCATGATGCTCTTGTTATTTATGTGCTTTTACTCTTATATTTCAAGTGAACACAATAAGTGAACTATGCTCGTAGTCTGCTGCTGCATAATAATCTTGTTATATTTGCCAACTGATTTGATCATTGGAAAAGGACCTTTAAGACAGCATTTATCATACATGCACGATCACATTTTCTTGGGACATGTTGCTGTTAGTATCATGGATTTGTATCAAATGGAAGTTTATGAATCTAGGAATTTTTTTGTGGCTATGTTGTTCTTGAAAACAAGTAAAATACTGAAGAATATAATTGGGATTTTTGGTCCTATTGATTCTCTACATAGTTGATTCATTGAAACCCAATCTCTCTCCATTGCACATCCCTAATAGTTAGCCTCTCTAATTATACACCATTCATGCATCATCAAGATTTTTTCTCACCCATTAATTATTTTATCCTTCTTAGCATTGTACTATATTTTTATAATATATCATTAGTAGTCTTATTGAGTTCACCTAAACCGACCTAATTTGTTGGATGTGGGTTTGAACCCTGGAATTTTTTGTCTGGGCTTTGAGCATATGTTTTTTTTATTTATTTTTTGACTCAAAACAACCCCAACCCATCTAACAACCACCCCTAGTTGCAGTTTATAGAGACATTATATATATATATATATATATATATATATATATATATATATATATATATATATAAATATATATATAAAACATTTAGTAGACTATGTATGATCTTCACATATATATATAACATTTATATATATATAAATGTAGTTATTGATCCAGATGATGCCAGGTGTGGTGTTGGTTGATCTATCACTCTCCTCAGATATCTACTTATCCATAGTAGTGAAAAATATCTTTTGCCAGGACATGATTGGAATTTTTATACAAATGGCAAATAAGACTTTACACATTCATCATATTATCCTTGAAATCAGCATTTAGGTTGATGCTTATAGAAAAAAGAAAAGGCCGCGAAGGGCTATAGTTGTAAATGTTCCTCAGCTTTTGTTTCTGGAATTGCTTCATTACAATTAAATCTCTAGTGAGCTGCACCATGTATGCGGAATACATTTTCTAATCCATTTCCCTTCATCCGCAGCCATTTTCTGCGCCTCTGAGCTTGTCGGTTGGCTACTAGTAGACTGTTGTACCAAATATGGTCTTATAATTACCTGTTCAATCCATACACTAACTTGATCGTTTCTTGTTCAGTTTTCACCTGAAAAATTTGCCGAAACTCTGAAGTTGATGGAGCACAGGTACGGAGCCAAGGATTTCGAAACAAGCAAAGACACAAGCTTATTGTCTCCTGGCACATTCTACCTCACAAAAGTCGACTCCATGTACCGGAGATGCTACGCCAAAAAGGGCTCAGAGGATGCTCCAGGTAGCAAAATGTTCAGTTTCAGTAGCCTGTCTATGGCCAACGGCTACTAATTTCATGCCCTTAAGTCATGTATGCTGGATGTTATTTCTTCCGTCTGGATTATATGCGTTGTGTTTTATTACTGGAAGACAATAATTTTGTTGTTGTCAAGGAAGTCATTTTTCGCAATGAATCTGTTTAAGTTCACATTGGAACTGTTTCTTGGGTACTCTCTTTGGTAGACACTGCAACATGCATGTAATTTTTGGCTAATTTATCTGCTTTGTTTAACCCCTAATTAGTGATTTAGATGAAGAATTGGTTCAATTCTTCATGGTCTTTAATGATCTAAAAATTTAAAAACTTCAAGAACGGGGTGAGTTTGTTGAGTAAGAAGAAAGTGTCAAAAAGAGAGGAAATGTGTGAAATGGAGGGAGTAGGGGGGGAAATCATATCATTCAAAATTTGAGATCATGTCTCCTAGATGTAGATAGGGCAACGTGGCAAAGTAGAGACCCTTGCCACGTCAACATAAGTAGAAACCTTCATCGACTAATATAGTGTATAAAGCATTATTTGATGTTTCGCTCGTATTCTAGAGTCTTTCGTTCTCCTCTTTGATCTTTCTCGTTTTACTTAGTTCTTTCTTCTCTTCTTTTTTTTCATTCTCTTCCTCCATCGTCTTTTCTTCCTCATCCTCTTCCTCCACTTCACGTCTCTCTTCATCTTCGGAACTTCGATATATATCGATTTGATACACATACCATAATCCCTAATATGAAATTATAGTATGTCTTTCTAAATACATTAACCTATAATAACAAAATAAAAAACAAAACAAAGAGTTGTAAGAGCTATAGTCTTTATCCTTTCTGTTATTGATTTGGTATTGGCATCTACTGGCAATCAGTAAGTTGTCAGTGGTAAGTTGTGCAGACATTAAGAGTCTACCAAGCGCTCTCGCAAGATCAATCAATCTAACTGTGGTCTTTGGATCACCTCCACTTTCTAAAGGTTAAATTCTCTCTCTCTCTCTCTCTCAAAGATACGAGTGGCCTATATACATACATGGAGAGAGAGAGAGAGAGAAAGAGAGAGGATGGAAGGTGTAACTTTGAGAAGGAGGAAAAGACGCCAGAAATACTTGTGGTGGTCATTTATCCTAATCTGGCAGGAAAGATTGCTTTCGTGGTTATTAAGTAGAAGATATAAACACTTCAATTGAGCTGCATGTCATTTGTCAGCCCTAAGAAGACCAAAAAAAGAAACAGCAGCTTGCTAATAAATCTCTATTATTGTTATATATGGCTCCCAAGTCAAACTGAAGATAGTTTGATTGATCCAGAATTCTAAGTTTGGAAAGAGTCAAATACCCCTATTAACTATACATTAAATTCCAACTTAAAAAAGAGATACGTGTAACATATCAACTTACTCTTAAATTGATACCTGTAGTTGCACCCTGACATTTGCCATGAGAAAGCTCTTCCTGTTGGATGCTTAGCGGGCACTCACTCTCTCTCTCTCTCTCTCTCTCTCTCTCTCTCTCTCTCTAAGCTGAAGCCAGTCGTAGGGCAACTCTCCTTTGGCAGGCCATTGGAGTTGTCAAGGTACATATGCAACTCTCTCTCTCTCTCTCCCTCTTGTCTGGGACCTTTCCTCTATCGCCTGCCGAAGGAGAGAAACCCCAGAACTGGCTCGCTTAACCATGAAACCATCGCCAGCTGATCACTTCCCTTGCTCCTCCTCCACTTCCTCGCGAGGTCTTTTTATAGGGCGACCGGGCAGCGAGTGCACCGGCAAAGGCACCCGATGAGCCATGAGCAGCAGCGGCATATGCTAACAAGAGTAGAGAGGTTATACCGATGGATATTCCACTCTCCAGGAGCCTCAACAACGCTCCTTTTTCTCCCGAGTCCATTTCTGCATAGTTCCATCCACGCCCACCTCGGTCGGCATGCGATTCTCTGTCTTGCATGATCTCGATGGCTTCAGGTGCATTCAATTCTTCTCCCATCTTTCCTGATGTCTCGAGAGGTGAGAGAAAGCGGAGATGTCTCCGACGAACAAATATGCTCTCCTTACTTTTTTGCTCCTTCGAAAAGCCGATGTAGGCCTTATAATGGCATATCCTGTTGTAATATTCCTTCCTTGTGTACTATCACTTTTGAACATATTAAGCGACGACAAGTTCATGTTTGGACATCAACTTTATAGTACATCTATATATAAAAAAGGTTATTTTTGAACGTTTATTTAATATAATATTTTTTATTTTTATAAAAAAATCCATGCTCATCATATTAAATCACATTAAAGCTATTTTTACTTGGATAATAGAATGTGAATTAGATAGAGTTGTAGAAATAAGGATCTTTTAGTTTAAATTATTATTCTATATCTATAAATATATGACACTATATAAATCCATCAAAATCTAAATATTTAGGTTTATAGGGCTCATAAGTGTTTTTCTTTTTGAGAAGTTTAACATAGCTTTTCTTTTTTACTTTTTATCTTAATTTCCTTTTTTTCTATTTAGTTTGATCTTGAGTTAATAGTACCTTATTATTACTATGTGAGAAAGGACTACGCTTACATATGATTTCTCTTTTTCTTCATATGGTATTAGAGCTCAATAATGATGATTTGTATTTCAAAATCTCCTTAGTGAAGAAGATAGTCTTTTTCGACTATGAATTACAATAATCGAATTGATAAGTTTGGTATTGAACTTTTCAATCAATTTAACTATAAGATTTGAAAGACTTATTTAGAGTCTTATCTCATATGAGATTATATATAGGACGTGGTTGGTGACAATGCAATAACATTAGTAGTTGTTATGAAGAGATGGAGGACATTAAATATAAAAGTTGAATTTATCTTAAAAAGACTTATTTTTCATGATATCTTTGAACATATTATTGATTGCAAATCAGAGATTTGGATCATGATGCATTGGTTAACAAAAAGAATATGACTGAGCTTTAGTATTTAGAGAATGCTTTGGTAAATACTAATTGAGGTAATATCTCAATTTCTTAGTAGAGTTAAAGACAAATGGAGTTCTACTTCAAAAAAAATGAAGATGCCCTTTTTATAAATAAAAAAATGATAATGATAAAAATAAAGAGATGAAAGATTATGCTAATAGTAAGCCAAGTCTTATTCAAATAATGGTATAAATTAAAATAAAATAAGTGTGGTAAGTTAGACAATAACAAAAAAAATTATCGTATTAAGATTAAAGGACTTCATACAGTCAATGAGGTCATGAAGATTATGAGCAAAGATAATGTCATAGATATCTTTATTAGACAACTTTCCAAAAGATTAGTTGAAGATATTTAAAGCAAGGACTTATCTCCAAAGGGGGAGTGTTAAAATTTAAAGTATATCATTTTGAGGATTTAGTTTGATATATTTGATTTTTTAAATAAGTTGATTAGATAGAGTTGTAAAGATAAGGGTCTCTTAATTTAAATTATTAATTTACACTTATAAATAGATGAGATCTACGTGTGTAGATCCATCTAAATCTAAATGTTTTCGGCCTATAAAGCTATTTTCTTTTCAAGAAGTTCAATATAATTTTTTTTTCTTTCATCCTTTTTTTTCTATTTGGTTTAATGCTGAGATAATAATATCTTATTATTACTATTGAGAAAGAGCCACACAGATCTCCTCTTTTTCTTCCCACCCAATATATATATATATATACATACATATATATATATATATACATATGTATACATACATATATATATATATATGTATATATGTATACATATATAAATATATATATATATACATATAAAAATATATATATGTATATATGTATATGTATATGTATATGTATATGTATATATACATATACATATACATATGTATATATTATTTTATTATTATCCTTGGATCAAGGAAGATGGATAGACATGGAGGCAAGTAACTTTAGTTTCTAGTTTGAGATGGAGGTGCGAAGACATCATGTGCACTCCCATTCGTCTTCAGAAGCTTCACCAAATCCGGAGTGACATTTAGAGAAGATTCAAGGATCTGAGAAGGCAACATGTTCAGCTCCGACGTCCTCCCCGTTAGCTGCTCGAATGCAGGCCTAAGAAAGCAGAGGTGTTGCACACCAAATTACTCCACTGAATCCAATAATAGATCTACTCCAACAGAGGTTTTCGATCTTACCTTGGACTGGTGATGATGGAGAACCACTCCATCCCTTCGCCGCCCGCTATGACCGACATCGCGAAGAACTTTGGGAGCCCAAACAGATACCCTTCCTTCACCTCTGCATCCAAAGCACGGTTGCCATCGGTGCCAGCGATCTGAACTCGTCCGCTGCCTTTGGCGACATATATCAGCTGCACAGCTGCATCAACGAAGAACCCCGGCAAGCGCACGGCGTTAGGCTCGAGTCTTGTGAGGTCGACGGAGAACCTGAATCCTCCCAGCGCCACCAGTTCATCACGTGTCACCGACGCAGCACAGCCACCACTCTTCACATCGATATATGCCGCTACGCGCTCAGCGTTTACTACTATCCCTTCGCTGTCGGCTCGGGATGCTCTGAGGCCAGGCAGCTTTTGCTGCAGTGTGATGATTAGAGCACCAGGTTGGCTTCCGAAGAGCTCCTCAGCTTCCGCATCCCTTATACCGCAGGCCCTGCTGAGGAATTCCGTCGAAAAGCCATGGAGCATTCCTAGGGATCCTGCCAAGAAGAAGTAGGCGATGTCGCCCGGTCGCACAGCTGTCGCGGTATCGCCTAAGAAGGCGATGGAGAAGTCGGAGTCCTCCTCCTCGTTGTACCACCACGTGAGGCTCCCCATGACCAGGGCTACCACATCTCCCTTCTCAAGCAGCAGTATCCTCTGCTTGCTCTCTCCATAGAGTGTTAGCCCCACCACCGCTCTTCCTGCAAAAGACAGTAATCGAAGTTCATGCAAATGCCCGTTTTGAAGGCTTGAGAAGGATACGAAGACTGAGATATGGCACCTTCAAGAACATAGCCGACTTTCGATGAGTCGGAATAGTGCGGCAACGCCAAGCCCAGTGGCTTCAGGACAAGCTTGCCTCCCCCGAGCTTTGCATCAGTAAGAAGGGGGAGATCGGCACCTGACCAAGTAGCGTAAGATCCACCGGCTCCTTCAAAGATGCTCTTGCTCAGCGTGGGAGACAATTCTGCTGCCATTGCTTGTCCTTCTTACTAGCTTTCTGCGGGTTGCCAATGCAAAGAAGATCTGGGTGGGTTTATAACCTTATCTAGATGATAGGTTAAATATAATTGCACGTCTTCAGACGTGGTCATCGGTCGGCCAACTCTCTATTTTCACCATCACCGTTGTCCTCATGTGTTACCTCCATTATTTTCTCCCATCATGAGGTCCCATCATAAGTACACGACGACTCTTTTACAGCATCTCGATTAGATCATTCGCCGTCAAAATGTAAATTTTCAATACGTATAATAAATCTATCTTGCTTGTAGACAACTTTGTATGTCCTCTCATACGTGGATTAGGACAATTGGATTTTGCTATCCCTAAATTTTTAATTATATATATATATATATATATATATATATATATATATATATATATATATATATATTCTTAAAATTTATAGAACCAATTCGAGTCAACATAACCTATCACATGTCAATTGGATCATGTTAGTGTAAACAACTTTATGTCGTGGCCTCGGGGCCGACGCGGCTTGGTTGGGGGTCCGAATGACGGGGATCTTGTACGGCGTTCCTCGAGATCGCCCCGGTGGTCGATTACGGTGGGTCGGTCGGGACGTTGCATCGGGAGGAAAGCTTTACCGCAGCGCCGGGAAGAAGTGACCCCGTCCTTGCACCTGCACACAGGTCGGGTCGGAGGCTCGGCCCGACCCCTCCGACGATCAAGTTAGTGGATATGGAGGGGGTTTCAGATGAAGAAGTGCTCTCTTTTTCTTCCTTTCCTACTCGTTTGAAACTCGAGGGTACTTATAGGTAAGTTTAATGTTACCTGATGTGTCTGCCCGCAGGGAGTAGGATCGTACCTTTGATGGCGTCTGACATCGCCATTGCCATTGCGTGGAGAACCAAACTGCCGCAGGGCATGGGCGAGCCTCGGTCGTCGTTCTCCTTTGCCTCAGCCAAGCATGTTGGGTCAGACAACGATGAAGTCGTTGTCTGAGAGCGGGTGACGTCAGCGCACATTGCGTCGGTATTATTGCCCTTTTTGGGGCAGAGTGTCATCCAGGCGTGACTGACGTCATGGCGCGTCATGTCGCCATTATTACCCTTATTAGATCATTCACCATTAAAATATAAAATCGAAAAAGAAACAATTTTTTATGTACGTATGTATCTATCTTGCTTGTACGTAATTACGTGTGTCCTCTCATGCGTGATGATAATTATATTTCGCTATCCCTCAAATTTTTAATGTCATATATACTCTTAAAATTTATAGAACCAATTAAAATTGGCATAACCTATACCATCTCAATTGGATCTTTCTCCGCCAAAATACAAAATTCAAAAAGTGGAGGGAGATAGGGATTAAGACGGCTGGATTTCGCTATTTTCCAAATTATTAATCTCATATATATTTCTAAAATTTATAGAACTAATTTGGATCAACATAATCGGTTCAAAGAATTAAAAAAAATTTAAAATAAAAGGGTAAAATTAGAATTAAAAAAATATGCTACTCCGATAAACATAAATAAACATTAAAAATTCTTACTATTGGGCTTTTATCTGTTGATAATTCATAATTAATTTTTACTTAAGATGTATATATATTTTTTATTTTGATAAATTTATCCCTCAATCCTTTACTAGTCACATAATCTTCGACATATTATCGTCGTTCGTCCCATAAGGTGGCATTGTTAGCCCTTCCCTATCGTCTCCTTCCCCTCCTCCTCATTCTCTTCCTTTCATCACTCGCCTTTCCTTGTCACTTTTTTTCCTTCTCCTCCTCTACCGCCACCCATCATTCCTTATTACTTCCTTCCCCTCTTCCCTTTCTCCCTCATCCTCCTCTCCTGTCACTTGCTCTTATCTATCACCTTTTTCCTTTTGCTTTCTCCTCTCCTTGCCACTCGCCCTGCCTCGATAAGAACAGAGGGCAAAGGCAACGAACAAGCGATGCTACACAAAGATGACGGGGCCTTTGTATAATACAAAGGAGATGATTGGTCAAAGGACAAGATAGTGATGATAATGCTACGAGCTGTTGGCGAGTGAGAGGAAACAAAGGAGGCAATAATAGTGCTGGTGATGAAGCAATGATTGAGAGTAAAAATAATGATGGAGAAATATTTTAATCACAGTGATAAAAAAATATTTCAGGTAAAAATCAATTAAGGTGACATCATTCGATAAAAGTCTAATAATAATATCTTTTTAAAGGTAAAATGCTCAATATAAATTAGTAAAAAAAAGAGAGGATATATCGGAATTGGGGTCTGGTGGTAAACCGGTGGTGCTCGGATTGACTGTTTGTTGGCCGAAGCCCAACATAAGTCAGCTTAAACATCTCGGCGAGTCCGATTTAAACTAACGACGAGAAATGGGCGCAGTCTGGGGAGTCAAACCAATAAAAGACACTTTACAGCCCACGCGTCCCCACCCGTCCCGCCATCGCTCCCCGACGTTCCCACACAACTAATCAAGATTAGATGGTAGGCAAAGAGAGATGGGCGGGGCCCGCACCTCTTGTATCTAGGTGTCGAATTGTGGGTTCCCTGTAGCGTGCCCGATAAAATTACTACGAGACGAAGATAAAGCACATGTAACTCCGAACCAAGAAATTGCACGTTGGTCCCTAATTTTGGACGTGGGGCTCACAAACCCGACCCGGGTTCTTTGGATAGCCATCGACGCGAGCCGCACTTCAAATTGCCATCGTTTCTCACCGGCTCATTTCATACGCGTAGTTTGAGTGGGTTCCACCGGTGATATCCACCAAGTCGTCGTCGAGTGTACGTTTAACGGGAGTAGAAGTTTGTTAGGGACATTACAGGGAGAGAGAGAGGAGCGAGAGAGGGAAGCGGCTCCCTGTTTTGACAGCGACGAGACTCGACGGAGAACTGCGACCTTCAGTCTCGCGCGCGCCTCCACTGCCTCTCTCTCTCTCTCTCTCTCTCTCCAATGCTCTGCTTTCCCCACGGCGGAACCCTGAATCTCCAGGTCGGTGGTGAATCCATTACCCTAAATCTGATCGCTCTTGCGCGCGCCTCTCGATCGGATCCATCGGTTTCCTTTTCGATTTCTGTCCATCTTTCCGAGCTGCTGCTTCGGGATCAGATCTTCCACGAGCAACTCGGTTTCATCTTCTCCCGATCGTATTCTTGTTCTCCGCGTACTATCCGACTGTTCGACTGTGTCCGCTTGCTCTTGTGTGGAGCATCACGTGCCTTGTTTCGGTTCCCACATAGGGTTTTGATCGGTCGCATTTAATGGCTCTTTAGTGCCCTACCGATCTGTTTGATAATTTTTTACTACATCGAATGAGTGTTTCTCTTGTTCATTTGTGTTGTTGGATCTTGAGTGCCTATATACCACTGCTTGATTTGATTGACTACCCGATTTTCTTTGTACTCCAGGTTGCTACGTAAGTTGTGCCCGACATGGACCAGGTAAGCGAGCACTGATCGCTTGCTGCATTATGCCATAATCTCATTCATGGTAGTTGTATGGGTTTTTGGTGGTAATGTGGTGGGAATGCTGTCTCAGTATGAGAAGGTGGAGAAGATTGGTGAAGGGACGTATGGAGTCGTTTACAAGGCTCGAGACAGACTGACAAATGAGATGATTGCTCTTAAGAAGATCCGCCTCGAGCAGGAGGATGAGGGAGTCCCAAGCACTGCCATCAGAGAGATCTCACTCTTAAAGGAAATGCAGCATTGTAACATAGTCAGGTTATGCTCCACAACTGCTTCACCTATTATTTCTCTCCATTGAACCCACTGATTTAGGCATCTAGGCTTTAATTAATCTTAACATAGATACTTAGATGAAACAGGATTTTGGGTTTATTTAATTTGAAAGGTTTCGTTTTATCAAGTGGGTTCCTAGTATCTTATCATTAATTATTTAACTATTTGAACAACTCTTCTGGATGCAATCCAGTATACAAGCCTCCTTCACCAAATCAATTTAGGAGGAAAGATGGAAGAGCTGATTCTCTTAAATTAGGCAAATTGCTAACATTCATTGACCTGTTACCCTTGTATCTGGACTCAGAAAACTGAGATCATTAAATGAGGCTATTCTAGATCACATAAGAGCTTCTGGAAGTTTGTTAAAGGAATTGTTTCTCAAATTAGGCATGTTCATCATTAATAAATGTATAAATTACTGTGGTTTTATTTCTTTTGTGCTAAGTATTTTTCATTTTCCATTGTTTGGCAGTGAATAGAAAGTTTTGACACCTTCCTTAGTGGTTGAGCTTTACCACTGCTTTATCACATTATGGCAATATATTAAGATTATACTGGCTTATTGAAAGAAATTCTTGTAGGAAAAGATATGCTGAATCCCGAAGATTCAGACTGTGAAATCTACAATTTTCTGCTCTTCCTATCTTTCTGCTTTCTGCATTCCTTGATATGTTCTAATAAAAAAATATTTGCAAACCTTAAGAAACACAGAGTATTGTTAATGAGACTATGCCGTGTTTGTTGACTATCCCTTTATTCCATCATCCTTTGTAATGTGCTTATCATTGTAAATCAGTTTCATCAAATGACTTTAATTCTTTATTCCATCATCCTTTGTAATGTGCTATATTTCAGTGATTGACCACTCAGAAATCAGATAATATTGGATTCCAAACCTGTACAGGCAAATATATATTGAAATTCATCTTTCAATACCCGAAATTTTATTTCCTGCCTAAACAACTTGGAAATCATAAGTGATATTTGTCTAGGTCCAAGATTCTTGTGTAAAAACCTTTAGGAGAAAGCTTGATGAAAAATGGTTTCCATTCATCTTTTGTTTAAAGATAGTATTCAGTAATATTATGTTCTGACAAATGAGGTTTTCGAATAACAAATGCAGGTTCCTACAACTGTTGAAAGTCTGTTGTGGATGCGCCAAATAGAAGCAGAAGATCCTCTGTTTGATTCAAAGAAAAATAGTATAGAAAGTTACTTGTTGCACTTACTGGTGTTATTTAATGTTAGCAGACCCTAAATAAGCTTGCAGTCAATTGATAGAGTAATTAGATTCTTCTTTTAGATTTGAG